TATAGCCCTAGCAATGAATGGAGTCAATGTTCGACAAGATAACGGCACAACTCGATGCACAAAAAGTTGAATCAACGTTTCCATTCAAAATCAATTGTTTGATAGTAAGACTAATATACGTTGTTATTTTTTAGGGGTATCTACGAGAGAGTTGGTTGAATTGTCATTATGTGGACATTGGGTTATCCAATAGAGTTTCTGTTAGATAGTGTTTGTATAAGATGGATTCTTTAAGGTAGAATTGATACTCTATTGACCACTAGTTGTCGAGTTGATAAAGACTTGGCATCTTTGCACTTGAAATCTCGCTGTTGTATGTACAGAGTCTTTATATCCGAAGCAGTGTTTTATGTGGTCTTTAGGCACCCTGTAAGCTTGATTCAGCGTCGAATTGTCCAAGATTATCTCGATTTGCCTAAAGTATTCTAGTCCTTACTCTAAAAGGATGATTTACAGACTATTATTTGGATTACTTAAAATCAAGTCGAAGATCAATTCATGCGAGAATCACTGCGTAAGAATCCGAATTACAGAAAAGTATCAATGTTTCCCTTGATATTTGTATGCTGTGTGCACTACTGGGCAGCCATAATTCAATTTAGGTACATCTGTGGATTCAATTTCATATTGAATGACAATGTGTTCCTAGAACATTGAGAACATGTTACTATTGATGAGCATAGATCAATCAGCATCCACCATTCTTGTATCTGTACGGAATTCAATTGAACTTTGTTTGAATCCAATGACTCCTATCAATATTGGTGTAGAACGTTCTCGCTTTACTGCCTTGGCACCAAGCTCAACTTGCGTCATAGAATCATTATTTTTTTTGATAAAGATATTATGTTAAAAGTCTATTGCTTGTTTCTATTGACTGGTCGGAGAGCAGTCATCATATTGTTATCTTATCTTTTCAAGAAAGTCGGAATAATTACTGAACACTAAAAACTGAACTTTAATTGTAAAAAAGTATGACAGCGATAAACTATACTATTCATAGACCACAGAATCATTTGATTTAGAACAAGATTCAACTAGGTTGTAGACGATTGGTCACAAACGAGCCGCAAAGAGAAGCAATGTAACCTTGCTGATACAAGCTACTGAATCTCTTTTTTTATGTTGATATGTTATGTAGTACAAGATGAAGAAAATGATTCCTTTCATTTCAACTTTTATACAACTCGCTAAACAAAAGAATACAACAATTTGCATTGGAAGAAAATGTATGATGAAAGATATAAGGTGAAAAAAGAAAGAAATGGCTTCCTAGTTCAATAGACTACAGAGATAGTGTTATGAGCCAAAAGTCTTGACTTTGATTCTATTAGAAACATCAACGATATTCTGGTCGTCATTAGTAGAAAAAGTATTCCCTACTATTACCTCATACTGGTAACAGTAGAATATTTTTGGTACTTTGTTTTGCTTACCCATTCTACTGATATGCATGACCTGTATTTGAACACCATAAGATAAAAAGTAGGCTGTTAAAACAAAATGGTTAATGTAAGTGTATTTCATGACATCCCTAATCGTTACAAATTGCCCAAAGCTTCAAAGACCTGATTACTTTAGGCATTCTTTATCCTTTTCACACTCACCTTATTCTTTTTCTTCCTTTTTTTTCTTATTAAAAATGAATATCATACAATCCTTACTGATAGAAGACAATCAAATTTCTATTCAAAAAGGCAAAGCGTAGAATAAAGCAAGGAATACACAATCTTACTTGCAGAATCATTATTTGCATCTTTGTAGATATTATTCTCTATATAGCTGTAACTTTCTTTACCAGTTTGAAAAGTTTACACAACAACATTTATAGGAAGAACAATATTAAGTTTATGATTCAACTCGATCCCGATACTAGTATTCCATGAATAAGGATATCCTACTCATCATACTCGACGAATGGTTTTAGATTCGAACTAATCAATCTATCTTATGTCAATCAACAACTTGACCAGAAAAAAGTTGCTTGTATTTATTTCCATTGCAAAAATTATTGAGGTCTTGGTATAAACTGGCAGAAATGATTACAAAAGCAGAATTTACTATCTGATTTGCACATTTGACGACAACAATAACAGCAACTCTTAGAAGAGATAGGACAACACTTCTCACTACAGCATTATTCTCGAAGAGTCATAAACATAGTATTTCATCTATAGTTCCTCATTCATTTAGAATTATGATTGGTGTTTTACGACCACTCGCTTTCCCTATATTAAAAACTCAATACATTCCTGAATTGTGGAACGGATATATTTTTCCATCTAATCGACAAGACTAGAGACAATAGGGATATGAGCTAGTGTCCAGGAATCAGTTTAAATTCAACTGATTTTAAAAGATCATAGTTTCGGCTATGTTGAATCGAGTTTAAACTGTATTGAGTGGAGAAACAAGCGACTGTGCAAAACAGGGCAATCAACCATCAAACTAGTGAATAAGCCAGGTGCTTTGCTTGAGAGAATCAGAACAATGTCGTCGGATTAAGAGCAATTTATTTTTTCTTTAAGCACCTTTCATTCTCTTATTCACGGAGCCTTACCTATAGAATTGCACGAGTTCGTCATAAATAGAATATTATTGGTTTCTGTCATATCATTCATGCCTAAAGACAAGCTCGATTTTAAGTTGCAGAAAGAGGGACTGTAATCTATCCTGGCCACTTTTGTATTGAACTTGGTGTCAAATAGAACGACTTGACCTTGTCCATTTGAATTCATATTTTCTTATGAATACTGTATTTGAAGAGTACCTATTATATGCTATTCGAATTTACCCTTAGCTTTTTTTTCACTGTTTATCATACAGCAAATCCTGTAACTTAGTTCATAAAAGCCTTGGTATCGTTGAGACTATCAAGTTCTATGGCAATGAATTGTACAGTTTTGATAGAACCAAGTTGTCACCAATCTGTTTCATCAAGGATCGATTTGATAGTGGGACATAAATAATGCCGCAGCTAACTACAAAATCATAAACATACGAGACAATTCAACTCAACTGAAAGGAACTGTATGCTCAGCAACTTTTAGAGATCATTACCATTTTAAATAGAAGAACGCAAACATTCGGTTTATGTTGTTTGAAAGATTTGAATCCACACGACAACTTGAGAAGATTGACGAAGAAGCACTTTGATCCTAACCTTTGATTGTTAGTACTTCAAGTCATGCTGAGACATATGGTTATGTCCGTTTACTTCCTTTGGTGAAAAAAGTTGTCCCTTACCTTTGTTATATTAAGCTATTACAAAATCAAGTTAATAACCTGGTACAGCTTTTACTAGTACAGGGTGCCTTTCACAGCAGACTCTTTGTTATCTTTATGGATGAAGAATTGAGCTTGGCTTGTGTTGATTCATTGACTGATTGATTGATTGTTTTGTGTCATACTAGCCTATTTACTCATCAAGTGACAAATAATCGCACTCGGACTTGTAAAATTGACTGATTCCAGTATTTGAGGAATAGTAGTAAAACAACTCTATTCAAAAAGGTGACCTAAGAATTCACTTTAGACAGATTGTTGATTTGCGAGTCAAAGACAAGTTGTACCATAGAAAAAGATTTATACAAGGTACGTGATATAGATAGGAGTAGTTTCATTGTTCATTCTCCAGTTGAATACGGACTGGATTGGACAGTGCTAATAGAATAAAATGGGTTGTTTGAACCACACTGGGTTGTCCGTCTATTATGAGTTTTTAGCTCATCAAGATATTTTATCGTGGCACTATAAAACTCTCTGTCCCATAAGAAGAGTCGTTATACCCTAGACTTTGGGTCATATAGTATTTATATATCCTCAATAGTCTATTTAATACAGATTGCTTCACGACTGTAAGAATTTACTGGAAGAATTTACCCAAGTAGACTTGGCAGACGAAATACCAACGAGTACTAGTATTCTTTCATCTAAATACACAGAGGACAATCTAGTTGATAGTTTTCTTGACAAGAATCATAACTAGAGAAAATCCCCACATTCTCTCCTCATAGTTGCAAATAACTTTCTAATACTAAACAGATCGTTGACCGAAACTCGTTTGAATCCATTGTTTCCAGAATTGACCCAATGTTGAATCATATTGCTATACTCTAAAATGAAGATTTTGTTGTTGCCATAGGGTCTGATTCTGCATAATATGCTGAGCACCAATATACACACTTTTTACTGATTTTTTCTGCTAATGGGAAAGATGGGCAATTTGGAAAGAGTGGCCAATTAGGAATGGGCCCGCGCAATTTTGACTTGAAAATTGCCATTGTGGGCTGGGGGAAGAATGGGTAAATTGGAAATGGGAGAGTGGGGAAATTGCGATGGGGGAAAGAGAGGGGGGCACCCACCCAAAGGTGATCGCGATTTGAAATTGCCATTGTGGGTGGGGGGAAGAATGGGCCCATTTGAAAATGGGAGAGAGGGGAAATTACGATGGGGAAAATGGTTGGGGAAAGGGGCCAATTTGGGCCAACCAACCACAAAGGTGATCGTGATTTGAAATTGCCATTGTGGCGGGCTGGGAAAGAATGGGTAAATTGGAAATGGGAAAGAATGGGAAAATTGCGATGGGGGAAAATGAGTGGGGAAAGGGGGTGAGCGAAATTGGAGAAGAGGGGCCAACCCAAAGGCGATTGTGTTGATTTGAAAATTGCCATTATGGATGCAGGGAAGAATGGGTAAATTAGAAATGGGGGCATTTGAAATTGAGGACAGTGTGCAAAGAGGACTGAGTGTGAATTGAAAATTTTGGGAGTGTCCGTATAGGAAGGGTGTTTGAAAAATTCCAATTCGAAAAGCAAAAAAGATTGAAATTTGAACTTTAGTTATATTTTATGAGATAGAAGTAATAGAAAGTTCAATTACATACTGTTCACATACTGTTTTTATGCTTTCATAATGCGTTTTTACTCTAAAACAATCTTCCTATTAAATTTCTAAAGAAAATATAATAACAATTTAATATAGTTAATTGAAACATTGAAAACATTATAAAAAAATTTAATCATTGACTTAATTTTCAACTATTACAATTAAATATTCAAAGTAAATATGATATAAAAACATAAAACTCAACAAAACAAAAAAAGAATTAATTTTAAAGACTATATTTGTACATTATCCACTAAATTGACAAAAATAAATAATTTTTAGTTTAGTTTGACAATATTTACTAAAAAGACACACAACAAAAATAAAAACAATAAGCAAAATTTGAAAGCAACCTTGACACGAAAAAATACAAACACGCAATAAACGCAAAGATTACTTTTGTTAAAAGTTAATAACAAAAAAAGTGAAAACTAACCAATAAAAAAAGAGAACATAGTCGTCGAAAGTATAGAAAGAAAGATTTTTATTCAAAGAAATACACATATTTAAAAGGATCAAGTAAAATGGCGCAAAAAAATAATGAACGAACTGGAAAAAACAAAGAACTGCATTTGGTAAATTGCCATTTGATGAGAGAATATGTATGGGGGAATGAAATGGTCGATTGCGGGTAAAGGATGGTAGTGCAACTTTGGTTTGAAAATTGTCTTGGAGAGTGGGGATGGAGGGAAAAAAGGGGCAAATCGGAAGTGGAAGAGGGATGGGGAACAATTGTGAATTGGAAATTGCCATGGGGGAAAATGAATGGGGGGAAGAAAGGGCAAATTTGGAGAGGGGTCAACTCGAAATGTAAATGGGCAATTGTGATTTGAAAATTGCCATGGGGGAAAATGAGTGGGAGGAAGGATTGAGGCCAATTGGGAAGAAAGGGGCCAACCCAGAGGCGGATTGTGATTTTGAAATTGCCATTATTGTTGGTGGGTGGGGAAGGATGGGTAAATTGGAAATGGGAAGGGATATTGAAAACNGTAAGGACAGTGTATGAAAAGGACAGAGTAATTTGAATTGAGGAAATTAAGAAAATACGATAAGGGTGTTTGTGAGAAATTCAAATTTTAAAAGTAGAAGAAAAAGAGTTGACCTTCAATTATATTTTATGAGATGAAGGTAGTAGTAAGATTGACGACATACTGTTCATATAATATTTCTATATTTTAATAGTACAACCTCAGTCCAAAAAATTTTTTTTTTAAACTTAATAAAACTATGCTAACAAAATACTATAGTTAATTAAAACATTGAAAATGTAAATAAAAAAATTTATTACCGCCTTGATTTTCAACGCTTATATGTCAATGTTTCAAAGTAAATTCTATTTCGACACAATAAATTGAATAAAGCAAAAAAAATTTATTAATAAAAAAACATAAATAATAAAGTAGCTACGTAATGGACAAGAGAAGATAATTTTTTGTTTCAAAATAATTACTAAAAAAAGAAACCACAGATGCAAAAATAATTAACTAGAATTAATCGCAACATAAACAAAAAAAATAGAACCATGACAATTACCAAAAAATTTAATTTTAAACAACAGTAAATTGCAAAATAGATACCAATCTATGCGAGCGATAAGACACAATTTTAAATGATACACAAAAAGAAGTTGCATTTAAGGGATTAAAGATGTCCAAAAAAAAATAAGTAGGATACAGTTTAGAAATAAAAATAATAGAAATAAACCGAGAAAACCAAAAATTGCAATAACTTTACTTTTTCAAAAGTAGAGTAATTGTGTAATGTCACGAAGGTCAATTTTCTTTTGTTATGGTTATTAAGTTTTATTAAGTTATATTAGGGTTTATTAAGTTTTATGGGGGAACGAAATGGTCGATTGCGGGTAAAGGATGATAGTGCAACTTTGGTTTGAAAATTGTCTTGGAGGGAATGGGGAAAAAAGGGGCCAATTGAAAGTGGAAGAGGGATGGGGGTCAATTGTGAATTGGAAAATGTGCATGGGGGAAAATGAGTGAGGGGAAGAATGGGGGCCAAATTGGAAATGGGGCAACTCGAAATGTAGATGGGCAATTGTGATTTGAAAAATGCCATGGGGTAAAATGAGTGGGAGGGGAGGAAGGATTGGGGCCAAATTGGAAATGGGTCAATTCGAAATGTGGATAGGCAATTGTGATTTTGAAATTGCCATGGGGAAAATGAGTGGGAGGAAAGATTGGGGCCAATTGCAATTGGGAAGAAAGGGGGCCAACCCAGAGGCAGATTGTGATTTTGAAATTGCCATTATTGTTGGTGGGTGGGGAAGGATGGGTAAATTGGAAATGAAAAGGGGCGTTGAAAACTGTAAGGGCAGTGTCAGTGTCTGAAAAGGACAGGGTGGTTTGAATTGAGGCATTTGGGAAAATACGAGAAGGGTGTTTGTGAGAAATTCAAATTTTAAAAGTAGAA